ATTTGACTTATGATGTAGAGCCGGCTGCCATTTTGGGTCGGCAAGTTCGGAAGTTGAGGTCAAAGGATATAGCTTCAGTGAAGGTGCAGTGGAGAGGTAAGCTAGATTAGGAGGCTACTTGGGAGATCGAGCGGGAGATGCGCAGTAGATATCCACGTCTATTTGAGACTCCGGGTACATTTCTAGACCCGTTTGAGGACGAACGTTTGTTCAAGAGGGGTAGGGTGTAATGAACCGGCCGGTCATTTTGAGAGTTGTAGCCCGTCTTCCCTATTTACTGCTCATTCCCTGCTTAATTGTTTTTAAATGTCATGCCGGAGTAGTTGGTTCGGGTCCGGAGAAGTTTCGGAATGAATTGAGACACTTAGTCTCAAGGTTGAAAGCTTAAGTTGAAAAGGTTAGTCGAATGTTGACTTGTATGTAAATGGCTCCGGATATGAGTTTCGATGGTTCCGTAAGCTTCGTTGGGTGATTTTGGACTTAGGAGTGTGTCCGTATTGTGATTTAGAGGTCTGTAGTTGAATTAGGCTTGAAATGGTGAAAGTTGGAAATTTAGAAGTTTGACCGAGAGTGGACTTTGTGGTTACCGGGATCGAATTGGGCTTTCGGGAGTTGGGGTAGGTCTGTGATGTCATTTGTTACTTGTGTGCAAAATTTGAGGTCAATCGGACTTGATTGATAGGTTTCGGCATCGAACGTGGAAATTAGAAGTTCAAAGTTCATTAGGCTTGTATCGATGTGCGATTCGTGGTTTTAGCGTTGTTTGACGTGATTTGAAGGCTCGACTAAGTTCGTATCGTGTTTTAGGACTTGTTGGTATTTTTGGTTGAGGTCCTGGGGGCCCCGGGTGGAGTTCGGATAATTATCGGATCAAGTTTGAAGTTGGATGATTGCTGAAGCTGGAGTCTTCTGGTGCAATCGCACCTGTGGAGCTTTGGTCGCAGATGCGAGCTGGGAAATGCAGGCGCGACTAGGGGAGAATTGGCCAGTGGTCACAGACGCAAAAAATAGGCCGCAGAAGCGTAGTTGCTCCTGTTGAAAGGTGGTCGCAGAAGCGGAGAATGAGAGAGGCTGAATGGGTCAGGTATTTCCGCAGAAGCGGATGTGTGAGCGCAGAAGCGCTTCCACTGGTGCGGATTTTGGTGCGTAGGTGTGGAGTTTGAGAGCTTAAATGAGCTCCATAGATGCAGAGGTTTCACCGCAGGTGCGGTCTAGCAAAAGTAGAATTTTGGACGCAGGTGCGAGAAGCACTGGGTAGTGTTTAAATTCGAGGGTTTTCGAGATTTTCTTCATTTTGGACATTTCAAGCTCGGACTTAGGCGATTTTTGAGAGGATTTTCGAGGGGTTTCTTGAAGTAAGTCACTTGTGGTTAAATTTATTCAATAATGATGTTTCCCCATTGAATTTCCCACCAAGATTGTGTGGTTTTGAGGTATAATTTTGGGAGTTTGAGGTTAGGGATTTGGAGAGTTAAATTGAGGATTTGGGTGTCGATTTGGTGTTGGATTTTGGTAATTTTGTTATGGTTGGATTCGTGGTTGAATGGGTGATCAGATTTTGTGAATTTACCCAATTCAGAGACGTGGACACGGGGGCCGACTTTTGAGTTGCCTTTTTGACTTTTGATTAAGAACTTTGTATTTTCTTGTGGAATTGATTCCTTTAGCTCGTTTGACTGTATCAAACTGTTTGTGGCTAGATTTGAGGCATTCAAAGGCCGTTTCACGAGTCAAGGGCGTGTTGAAGTAGAGATTTGCACAGTTTGAGGTAAGTAGCACTTCTTAACTTGGTCCTGAGGGTATAAAACCCCAAATTATGTGTAATGTGATTGGTGTTGAGGTGACGCACATGCTAGGTGACGGGTAGGGGTGTCAATGGTTCGGTTCAGCCGGTTATTTTATAAAAATTTTACCATACCAATTTTTCGGTTATTCTATTATGTATAACCATAATTAAACTTCTCGAAACCATCCCAATCATATCGGTTTCTCTTCGGTCGGTACGATTCGGTTAATTTTCGGTATTTTTTTAAATACCATATAAAAATCGCTAGTAAAAGTAAAATGCAATAACATATATATTTTTATAGGACTTAACAAATCTCTCCAGACAGTTTTACTGTTTAAATAGTGACAAAATAAGAAAACATGAAAGATGACCATATTATAGATCTATCAACTACTCTACAATAGTATAAAAGAAACAAAGCAAAGACCAAAAAAAATCACACGAGTAGAAAGATATTAACCAAGTTGGGACTCAAGAATAAAGTCTATAGAAGATTAAATATTCAAAAAGATAAATCTAAATCATACAAAAGGAAACATATTCAATACACTTAGTTTGCTACTCATAACCGCTAGAATACTTTGTATCTTGCTAGTGAATATGCTGAAATAATTTAGTTTCAATAGGAGTAGCATAATAGGTTTGAGAATTAGAATTTTGATTTTAATTACTTGTTGGCTTGTAATCATTTTTATAATTTCAAAGGCCAAGGAAAAATTTAATGTTTTATTATTTTTAAACTTAATATATAAATATATTTTTACATGTAAATTTATTCGGCATGGTTCGGTATTATTTCCGTTTATTTTTATTAAATAAAAAATCTACCTTAATTATTGGTACAGTTGTAGATTTCTAAAAATCGGTTCGGTGCGGTTGGTTTAGTCAGTTTTTAAATATCCATTGATATACCTAGTGACGGGTGCACCGTAAGAATTGTGACTTGGTCGATTCCACGGAACTACACAGTTAATTTATCTTGTCTTTATTCGTACTTTCATCATGTGTTAAAGGAATTGAGTTGCCAGTCATGTTAGAAATTATGCTTGGGCTATGTGTTGGTACCGTAGGGACCCGCAGAGGTCCTGTTATATGTTGAGTTATTTGCTAAGCGGTCATTTTGTAATCAGTTATAGCTTTTACTATATATTATATCTCAGTCTCTATTGTCCTTTATTGATACATTATATCTTCATTGTTTGGGCTAATTATCCTTGAGAGCCCGAGAGATTAGAGAGACTGATGACTAAGTGAGGCCGAGGGCCTGATTGTGAGGATTTATGGGAGCAGGCTGCACGCATGAATGGCTTAATATAGTGCTTGGGATAGAAATGCCCCTCCGGTGTCTGCACATCCACAGTGAGTGCAGGTACTTACTAAGTGCGAGTGTAAGTTCCAAGCGCGAGTGTCGAGTGACTGAGAGAATTGAATGATTGTGAGGGAGTGACATGTGACGTTGGAGTTAATGGGAGTACTGAGTGACTGTTACTCGGAGAGTATGCATCTGATTTCATTACTGTTGTACTTCAGTTGGCATATATCACTGTCACGTAGTTACTGAGTTGTACTACATCCTGTTTCAATTGAACTTGACATAAATTAATTGTTTTGGCTTTAACTGTCGAACTTGAGAGCATGCCTACTTTTCTGTACTGTATTTCTATAATTGAACTGCACCCATGAAGCTCATCACTACTTTCAGTCCAATAGTTAGTCTTGTTACTTACTGAGTTGGACTCACACTACACCCTGCAATTCGTGTGCAGATCCAGGTGTTTCCGGACATGGTGGGTGCTGATTATCTGAGCAGCTTGATCATTCAGAGATTTTGAGGTAGCTGCCCGGTGTTCGTAGACCTTGACTCTCCCTCCCTATCTTTCAGCTTTATGTATTTAGTTACAACTTTTTTTCATAGATAGTATTTTCAGACATGTGTTGTATGACGCTTATGTACTCAGTGACACCCTGTTTTTGGGGGATTTTTGCGTTGAGTTTTGACCCTTTTATTCGGTTTATGAAAGCTTTACTTATTCAAACTTGTTTAGTTCATCTTTTATCTGCAAGTGTTGGAACTTATCGAGTTGTTGGCTTGCCTAGTACCATGTTAGGCACCATCATGATAGGCTATATTATTGGTCGTGACAAGTTGCAAAAACCATTTGTGTTTTAACTCAACATGAACATAAAGCAGACTTTCAAATTGCATCAGACGTTGATTTAAAAGTGAAATTTGTTCTCCTTATAGAAGTACTGAAGTCTCCATATCTTAAGTGTTGATCCATTTTTAATCAGTCTTCGACTCAACTTTTGGACTATTATGGTGTTGGGGCAGTGCTTAGCACGGGCATTCCTATATAATGGCAACTTTGAAAAAAAATACTCATCCTAACTTGTTGTATTCATCTAGCAATTTTCTCACCACTTCACCGTCTTCAACAAAAACAGGACCTTCAAATGGCATTCCATAAAGCACCTCATCTCTACCATTCTTCATTCCATCACTCTTAAGTGTTACCACAACTCGTTCGATTTTAATCCACATCCCGCCATCGTCTACAAACACACAAAAACCACCTTGATCATTTTTAAAATACCTCCCCTATACAAACGAAAATTTAGCAACACCTTTCTTTATAGCACTATACATTAACCATTCATCATCATCATCTTTATCATTTTCTCCATCTAGAACACACAACAAAAATCATCCATGAATTACCACCCAAATATACATTAAACATTTTGTTTGGCCAAAATATTGCCTAAAGTATGTCTTCTTTGTTTTCTTCAATGATGTTTGGTCAGTTTTTAGCACGAGTCAAGCATCAATTCATTATAAACGACAACTAAATCAATCGAGTGCATCTATATTATTTTTCATAAAATATGTACATTACACACTATTTAATTGCATGAAAAAAGGCACTAGATTCCGAACAGGGATGATGGATTTGGACTAATTGAGCAATAATAATCTTTATCTATTGAAAGTTACGGCTACATTTCTATATTATAGGACGAGTGGTGGTTTGCACGTGTGTGTTTTTAGTCATTAAATTTCTAGCGGGGGTATTTTAGTCATTTGTATCTAAGTTGTTGTAGGTATACTTACGTGTCTAAAAGTCCGGTTGCCACTACAATATGTGGCTTTAGGTTCTGCCGTTTACTAAGTTCTTCGTCTTCTTTTTTCTTCAATCTCTTTCACAATACTGATTATCACCTCGATTCTCTTGCTTCATCTCCCCCAGTTCTCTATTTCTGTTGTCTCCCTTCTTCCATCATAGTTTCTCCTTAAGCTCTTGATTTCAGTAATTACTTTCTTCTATTGCAAATCTGCGGCCAACGTTTTGTGCAATTTCAAGCCCTTTCCATCACTCTATCTGCCCTGCTTTCCACCAAGAGATTGGAAGGCGAAACCCAAAGAGAGAAAAGTGGTTCCCTCTTGTGTTGGTCTGGAATCCTGAAGCTTGAATTCAAAATTTCTCCTGCAAAAAAAAAACAGTAAAATTCGCGCAATTTCATTATTCAAAATCTTAACTCGAAAATTTTCCAAATCTTCTTGAATATATACAAGATCAATCTTTAATCCAGTTTTTCATAATTTTAAGGTAATGTTCCATTCTTTAATATTTTTATCCCATCCGAAAGGCTTTTTTGTAACATTATAGTTAAGTAATTTTCTTTAGATTTCATAGATATTTTTTCTGCTTTTGATTTTTCACTTCGTTTTCTTGTATCTCGATTTGATCAAAATAACTGTATTATTTTTTGTGCGCTCGAGAAGCTATGGTTGCTTGGAGATTTTTGTTGTTCCAATGCTTCTAATCGATGAGTCGAAGGATCATCTATTTTTGTCATCCTCATCATGATTTCAAGTACTCTTCGCTCTTCCCTTCCCCTTCATATATAATTTTTACTATCTATATTTTGTATGGTTGTTTTCGCACTTCTACTTCTACTAAGTTGTCATTTCCAGTTCATAAGAATGAAATTTATGGGTTTTTATGGGATATTGGTGACCATCCTTTTAGGTCTTTAGCTTGAATTATTGTTTTTCTCATTATGAGTGTGTGTTCTAGCTTTAGAGGCTCGGTAATTGGTAAATCGAATGAATCTTTTAAGAAGTTCTTATGTGGTTAGAAAATAAACTTCTTTTCCAAGTAATGTGTTTTGGTATTTGTATGTTTTATGGAATCGAAATATGGACGTTGTTAGAGGTCAATGAAGCTTTCTTTTTCCATTTTTTTATCTTACATTTATATTTTTAGTATCTTAATAGGAGAAACGTATGATTGTTAATCATAATATTTTTAACAAACTGAGGCATGATGACCAGGTGCTTAATTTTGGTGGACATGTTTCTAAAGCTCTTATCAGAGAAGTATCTTAGAAATTTTAGTGTATTAATGTTTTTTTTTTCCTCGGTGTCCACTTCAAAAGTTCCACTCTTTTCCTTGTCATGCCTCGCCTTTGTTCGTGCCTATGTAGCACCCTTATCCGCTACATTCTTGTCATTTAGTGTTTTTTTGGGGCTGGCTTACCACTACCACCTACTCTATGACTTTGAGTTGGTGTTTTAGAGACGGCCATATCACCTGTAAAAGATACAAAATACATTATGTATAATGTGCGACATTGAGTTATAGTGGTGCACATCGCACCTCACACTTAGCTCGAAAGCGTAAGTATGCAACAAAGGCAAAAGTGACTACTACAAGTTAATTGCATTGTAATAAGGTCACTTAGCATCATATAAAATCAAGTGGATAGGACAATGCACGAGTCGTGGATTGTGGATAGACTAACCAAGTCTGCACACTTTATTCTAGTAATGATTACCTACACTTCAGAGAAACTAGCTCGGATTTATCTTTGAGATGTTCGTCTTCACGGTGTGCCTGTGTCTATTATCTTGGATCGTGACACTCACTTTACATTGCATTTTTGGAGAGCAATGCAGGATGAGTTAGGCACACAGGTCGAGCTAAGTACGACATTTCATTGCTAGCATCAGTCCTTGTCCCCATGATGAATTTATTGCTAGCATTAGTCCTTGTCCCCATGATGAATTTATTGCTAGCATTAGTCCTTGTCCCCATGTCGACCCACATGGTATTGTGGGGAGATGCCTTAGCTGATCGGGTAGAGATCGGACACCATGCCGCGCACACGGTGGTTCTTCCTTCTTATCATTATATTTGATTTGTAGCACCATGTCAATCCATATTCATTAATGGCGAGACGGCTTAACCGATCGAGCGGTGATCAGACTCCATGCCTTGTGCATGGTGGGATGATTGCGTATTTATGTCCACCCGCATACATTGGGGTGATACGTCTTAGCCGATCGGGCAGATAACGAACTCTGTGCTATGAACATGATAGTGTATCGGTGCTAATGATCTCCCATCCCAAATTGTTAAAACTTAATTGGAATTGGTTATGTTTTAACTTGGCATTTAATATTACTTGAGTTTCTTATTGATTCCATGTTTCTCTCCTTTTATGTTGGTACTCTACTCCAAGAGAGGGTATTTAGTTTTACATATTAGTACTATTTCATATGTACTAACGTCCCTTTTGACGGGGGCACTGCATCTTTAATGGATGTAGGTGATTCCTCAGCAGACTGCTTTGGTCCTTTGTAGCAACTTACCCTCTTCTCAGCTGGTTTGGTGATCCCAATTCTACTTCGCAGCCCTATGTCACTTGATTTTACATATTGTGTTTTGAGGTATAGTCGGGACCTTGTCACCGGCATTCCATATTGTACTCTTGTTCTCTTAGAGGCTCCGTAGACGTACTATGGGTTGTATTTTGACTTGGGATCACAGACTACAGATGTTGTTATATTTGTTGAGTATTCCACTCTAAACTATGAACATGTGTTATTTTGGTTATCAATAAATGAAGCTCTTATAAAAATGAAAGTTGGTATTGTACATATTATTCCCTTGGTTGGTTTAACTCTTTATATAGTTATCCCCAATTTATTCATAGGTAGGGTTGAATGGTAGGCATTAAGTAGGCTTGCTTGAGTGTAATCTCTCGGTTGAGCGCCAGCCGCGCTCCCCAAGGTCGGGGCGTGACACTTACAACTGAAAATCAACTTAAAATGAGTTTATCAAAAGAACTGTATTCCCAATTCACAACACCAGATAAGAATTTTCGTTTACCAATTAGCATGAGGAATGTACATCTCTATGCCTACATGTCAATATACATGTCATGTAATCAATTATCATATACCATCTAGCATTAGGAATATAGATCTCTATGCCTACATGTCAAATATACATGTAAAATAATCAATGTCACATTACCATCTAGCATGAGAAAAAATGCATCTCTATGCCTACATGTTAAGTATGCATGTCCAATGAATGATTTTATGGTGATATCCCCAGGTACTCTCACCCTCAACATACTTAAGCTGTCTATCTCAAATGCCCATTTCATCACACACACACACACAAACACACACACACACTCAGCATTATATGGTGCTTGGAATCAATGCCCCTCACCAAAGCACGTGTATGCATATTATTGTGCATGCTCACTTTTGGTATGTCAGACTCTGGAGGGGCAGATCCTGCCCAAGCGCTAATCAAAAGCCAATATGGGCCTGTTGCGCCGTGCAACCCGGTCCACAATAATAATAAAGCCAATAAGGACTGCTACAATATGCAACTCGGTCCACAATAATAATAAAATAATAATAACGCCAATATGACCTGCTACGTCGTGCAGCCCAATCCATAACAGCACTCTCAACATGGCTCTAAGGCCCACCTCAGTCATCAACCTCTCAAGTCTCAAGGGCTCACAATCTCATACCACTCAGCCCAACACTCCACATATGGAAAACCATGATAACATGCGATGTAACAATAAATGATGAAGAGAGACTGAGATATGATATGCAAATGAAGAATCATGACTAAGTGTATAGTTACAGTTAAATCAAATAACCTAAAACAACAGAGATAGCCTCATCAGGTCTTAACCACATAGCCTAAATATGCTTTCTAACATGAATCATAGATCAATTAATCTAACAAGTAAGAAAAATATGGATAAAACAAGACATGATAGCAATACAACACAAATGTCAACCCGGATCATGATTACCCTGGTGGACACCCACACGCCCACACGCCCGTCACCTAGCATGTGCGCCACTCCAACACATTAAAAATAACATGGTTCCCAGAGATAATTACCCTCAATTCAAAGTTTAGAAATGTTACTTACCTAGAACAAGCCAAATCAAATATCGAGCAAGCTAAACAATACTCTATAAACGCCATCCCGCCCGAATCAACCTCCGAATGGCTCGAAACTAGCCAAAAGTAACTCAAAACATCAAATAGTGCCAAAGAGAGAAAACCCAAACGATTCAGGTCGAATGTTTAATCAAATACTCAAAGTCAACCTAGGCCTGCACCTCGAAACCCGACAAAACTCACAAATTCTTACAACACATTCCATTACAAGTCCAACTGTAGTAAAATTAGTCAAATCCGACTCCGAATCGATGTTCAAAACCCAATTATTTACTTTAGGAAGTTTTAGACAAAAACCCCCAATTTCTCTTCTAAAATCATCAATCAAGTACCAAAATTGAAGAAAATCATAAAATATAATCAAATCCTAGTGGAAAGTACTTACCCCAATCCATGTGGTGAAAATCCTCACCAAAATCGCCCAAATCCGAGCTCCCAAACTCAAAATAAGATATAATAACTCAAACGTCCAAGATAGAGTACTTATATGCACTGGCCAATGGTCCCGGACAACATGTAGTGTATCATCCATAACCTTTTGTACATAGCTCCAAATAACAAACAGTTTGATTTTCTAAAAACTAGAAACAAAGGTCTACAACTTTTGTTTTTGGACAACCTGAAAATTATTTCCAGATTACAAGATGTAATCTCTTGAAGTCAGCCCTGTGACAGCAGAAATTATTCAACACGATCGCGAGAAAGGTTTTCGCAATCGCGATTCACAAGTCCCAAATAGAAATTTACTCTTCGCGAATGCGACCCAAAGGTCCACGATCACGATTGATACCTCGGTAGCGAAAAACCAGCAGCTAAAAATGGCCTAGAAGTGGTCCAAAATCACCCTAAAATTCACCCGAGCCCCTTAGAACCCCGTCCGAACATACCAACAAGTCCCAAAACATCATACGAACTTACTTGAGGTCTCAAATCACACATAATAACATCAAAACCATGAATCGTCGATCAAGATCAATTTCTTAATTTCATAAACTTCAAATTCCAACCAAGCGTCCGATTCAAGCCTAACCAATTTGGAATCCAACCAAACTTTGCACAAAAGTCCCAAATGAAAAACGAACATATTCCAACTTCCAAAACAACAATCTGAACCCGATAACATCGATGTCAACTCTCGGTCAAACCTATGAACTTTCCAAACCCTCAAATTGCCAACTTTCGCCAAATAGTGTCGAAACCTTCTGTAAACATCCAAACGCAAATCCGGGCATACGCCCAAACCCAAACTCATCATTCGGACCTAACGGAACCATCAAAACTCCTACCGAGGTCAAATACACAAAAGTCAAACTTGGTCAACTCTTCCAACTTAAAGCTTCCTAGTTAAGAATCATTCATCCAAATCAATCTGGAATCACTCAAAAATCAAAACAGATGATACATGCAAGTCATAATACACCATATGAAGCTACTCAAGACCTCAAACAACCGACGGGATGCACCTACTCATAATGATCGGTTGGATCGTTACACATATATGCATACATCCTACCTAGGAATCATCCCTTGTACACATGAATATACCCATGCATGGTTATATCTCTGTCCATGTGTATTATATATGCTTATATATCCTTCATATGCATACATTCCTGAATATGATTCTCAAATATGGACTGAGGTTATAGCACAAGGTATGTGCCATGCAGATATTATGATATTGATATTGATTTGGCATGAGGTCTTTGTCGTGCAACGATTGTCATATTATAATGACATAAGGCTCTGGTCGTGCCACATGTGGATATGAATCCATACCCCTAGGGTCGCCCTCTCATTTTTCTCTCTTGATGGCGCACACATAGGTTGTGAGAAACTGATGGCTTTTTGGTGATAGTGATGTGGGATCCTATGTGATGAGTTATTGAGCATAAAGGTGGAAGCTTGGCCATTCAAGTGATCCTTTATGTATATTCATGCATTTTATATGCTTTGTACATGCATATATCATCTATATATGCCAGTTGAGGGATCTAATATGATAAGTTATTGAGCATAAAGATGGAAGCTTGGCCATTCAAGGTGCATATTCATGTATTTACATGATTTATCCATGTATATCATCTATATATGCTAGTTTATGCATTCTACATATGCACAAGATTTGTTAGTGAGTTGTTGGACATTTGGAGTATGTCGGATTGAGGTAAAAAGAGAGTTATCATCATACATCGATATGTTAGACTCATGTAAAGGTTTCATGAACACGTCATTCAAGAATTGATACGAAATTGGATCATAGTTATATATAGACACTATACATTCATAGGAGTCTTTGAGTATACGCTACTTGGTGCATGACTCTTTTGTATGCGGAATTAGTGCAAGTTGTATTTGTTTTGACCTGTTTAATTGGAAAGGAATGTTTATTATCTCCTCTTCAGTTGTGCACCTTCAGTTGTGATATCCAGTGTTCTATGACTATCTTCCTGGATACTTTTCTGCCCTATATATGCTTTTGAGCCATTCAGGTTATATGAGTGAAGTGTCTTTGACTTAAAAACTTCGTCACTACTTCACTAAGGTTAGTCAGGATACTTGCTGAGTACATGGGGTCGGTTGTACTCATACTACACATTTGCATCTTGCGTGCAGATCTTACAGTCGAGCTGTTGTGGATGATGGAGTCTAGCATTGAAGTTGTACCAGCATTTCAGATACAAGCTACCACTTGTTCATGGTAGTTTAGGATTTGTACTTCTATTTGTGTATATTCAAACAGATGTTGTATTTTCTTCATAGCAGTATTATAAATTTATATCTTAGTGGCTCATGACTTGTTCTAACAATCCTTGCGGATAGTTGTATGCATTTCACTAATATTGTTTATTGCTTATTGACGAACTTTCATTCGAGTTATATTATTTGTTGTTTGGCTTACCTAGCATGTAGGGATTAGGTGTCATCACGACTAGGTGAGATTTGGAGTCATGACCCTAGGTCTAAAAAAAGGAGCTAATCCCAAAATTTCATATTTTTAACCTAGTTACAGATGTCGCAATTGCGAACAAGTGCAAAGTGTTCGCAATTGCGCAGCTCGCAAATGCGAACCATTGGTTACAATTGCAAAGAGGCACTGAGCCACAACAGATCGCAATTGCGAGCATCGCTAATGCGATCTCAGCTTCGCAATTGCGATGCTGGACTCTCTCATCCAATATCGTAAGTGCGAGGACCACTTCGCAGATGCGAACCTTGCATTTGCGAGCGGTTCAGCTCAATTGCAATGACTGCAGCACCAACAACACCAAGTCTTGCTTAAATAGCTTGAAACTGATCTAAAGCTCTCCTGAGCTACTCGGGCCCCATTTCAAATATTTGCACAAGTATATAAACCCCATACAAACATTCTCATAAGCTCAAAATATCAAAATAACATCTATAATCAAGAATTAAGTATCAAACTCAAAGATTGTAGTGTTCATAAACTCATCTTTTAAACTTTCCATAATAAGCACCGAAACAGCATCGGGTCACCCGGTACCCAACCAAACATGCATAAAAGTCCAAAATCATCATATGAACCTATCAGAATTATCAAAATACCGATTCGACGTTTACCAAGAATGTTGATCGTGGTCAAATCCAACAACTTCAAAGAAAATAAAG